TTGCCATCCTTGACTCTGGACTGGGGTGCATTTCCTCAAACACAGTGGCATGCAATTTGGAGGTCTTCCTGGTCTTGTGGCTCCTGTTCAAGGAGCACTTTGCAGCCACGGTCAAGGGGATTTTGCACAAATCCATGTTGTATGCAAATAGCACCCTTCCTTATATCTTTAGTAAAACCACCCAAACGCTATATCTGATCCAGAATGGGGCAGCACAGGAAGTTCTGTTTTTCTTTGGTTTGTCTGTGTTGCACCGCTTGTTACATGAACTGCACTCATTCCCAGTTTATTTTCAGGTGCAATCCCATGGGCTAGCTATTATCTTTAGAGTTCTAAACATACAGGTCCTGGTTAGCTACAGAAATGATTATCCCTGAGAATATCCAATATCAGAGAGGGAGCACTACATTTTTTTTGCCTTAAATATTGTAATTTGTTGGGATCTCATGCTCCTTTTCCTTAGCAGCCCTGGCCCTTTGGAACAGCCACCCACCTCACCCTGGAAGCCTCCTACCCTTTTAGCCTTTTGGATGGCCATGAAAATATAGCTCTTTCCCCAGGCATTGGGCTCAGAATGAAGAGGAGCCGGTGACTAAGGAAATGATGAATGTTATGGTATCATAGTGGTGGGTACGTTGCTTGGTGTATGGGTGGTATTGTTTATTTGTGGTGTGTGGTTTTTTAAAATGTTGTGAGCTGTGTAGAATTATCATATTTGAGCTAAATGGCCATGACCTTTTAATAAACAAGCAAGCAGCATTTTTTTAATTTTTATTTCAGAAGTGAGAAATTAGGACGAGCAAGACAAAGCTCCTATTTATGAAGATCTAGCAAACCAAGATATCAAAATGAATGATAATAATTATAAATAGTGTTTACTTCTTCAATGAGTCTGAGTAAGTAGAACTTGATTTATTACACTGAGTTTCTGTGATTTTACTTTGCTTTATGACATAGATGCATAGTCCTTATTTATGAGGGGTGGGTTATCTGCAAGATATATTCTGGGTTCAGTGATTGAGTTAATTGATTTCAAACAATTAATTTAATTAGTTTCTCACTGCCAACTGTTCAGAACATTTGCGCTAAGACCGTTCATAATTTATATATATATAGGTTTTTTTTTAAAGCAAAGCAAATGCTGAAAGGCAAAGATTAGTACCTGCAGATCCAACAGTCAGTTGCCAGAAGTGGCTGGTTAGGGCTAACAGTTTTTCACAAATTCTAAAATATTCTGACTTCAGTGGCTGTGCTTATGGCAACTTTGCAGAAAAAAGGCCTTGGATCGAGTCATTATGACCTCAGCAAACGGCATTGGTGCGGATAAGCCAGGCCTCTGTCAGTAAATGATCTGTTCCAGATGTGTGGCCCTGAGAAAGGGAGGGAGGGGGAAGACTTCTCCTTGTTCACTGAAAGTACAGAGCTTTGGGAGATGAAGGTGGGCTAATAATGTTGGTGGGAGGTTTTGAGTCATACATGAAAAGGAAAAGGCAGGGAGCTTATAGAAATCAACCTTGGACACAGCTGCTGTGCCTGGTTTCAAGAGGCAGCGTTCTATTTTGCTTGGTTCTCCCTTGGATTTGGTCCAAAACCTGCATGATGTGATACATCCATTTCAAGAGGCCCAAGTTGGGAAAACAGCACTAAACTGGGTTGAAGCTAAGAGCAAGTATGCTACCATCTAAAGAACTGCACCTACTTGTGAATGCACTTGGCTATAGCCAAGAAAACCTTTTTAAAAATCCCAAAGAAGCTTCTACTGTATGGGATCTATTCAAAACTAATATATATGAAAATAGTTTTAGAAAAATGTCATCATCACCATCATTATCACTATGATATATCCATGAGGAAGCTAAAGACGAAAGTAAGCAGTGCTCAGGAGTAATACTCAATCCAGGAGCATTTTAGACAACATAGTCTACATAGCGAATACAGAAAAACAGAAGTGGAAGCAGCCATTATAGTCTATATAATTTGACTCCCTATTCATTGCAAGAATCACAGTTCAAGCAATCATACCTGTTGGTTCTCCAGCATTGAACTCATGTGACTAAAAGAATCTGATCTTCTCCCTCAATCAGTGGTTGTTAATTGGTTGTTATACACACATGCATACAGAACTGGTTTTCCATGGAGTGTTATTAATTATTATCACAAATATATAATATTTGAAGAAACCCCTTCAATATAAAGCTGCTTGAGTGAGCAAAGTTCCCTGAGAGCCTTTAGGGGCTTATTTTCCATGGATGCCATACTAACATGAGTAACTTGTGGCTTTAAGTGTATTGAATATTTATAAAAACAAAGGAACTTTAAACTATTAATGAGGAAATGCTAATTTCAAAATAAATCTTCGTTATTGCATTATAATTCTGGAGAGGGACAGTGGGGAGTTTGTTGAGTTGCTATGATAGGAGAGCATCATGTCTCTTCTTAATTTTTTTATGGTACAGCAAACCACTAAAATATTAGGAAATGAAAGTGAACTGATATGGTAATATCTGGCCATTGGTATCAGATGCTAGGCCCAATACACTCTGGAGAACTGGCAGTGTTTTTTTCTCCTGCAGATACAGGACATAGTGCTGTTGGTGTTAGAAGTCTATGATTGATGGCTGGTTTACAGGATCTAAGAAAAGAATTACGAAGGTGGCAATTGTTCCTCTAATCAGGGGATAAGTCTGGGTTACAGATTTCATGGTTGAGCCAGACCTGCAAAGGAGACAAATAAATTATTTTATCAGGCAACAGGGTCTAACTCTTGAAGCAGATACAACATGGCTTGGATTAATTCTGATATACACTTAAGGGTGGAGGAATGCCCAGATGGGTGGAGATGTTGTTCAAATTATTGGAACGTTATCTTGACATGCAGCCTTTTTGTATCAAAATGGGAAGATCATGTATTTTGTTGGAGTCAACAATCAACAGCTGGGCTAAAGGTATCCAGGATTTGGGATGAAAAAAAAATCATTAAAAAAGTCAGAAGAAAGCCAAAAAGATTCTCATTGGTTCTTGACCAAACTATCAACTTATAAAGACGGTTCATTATCCCAATATGAAATAAAACTTTAAAATCATGGGAGTCAAAGCCCAGCATATTTGGAAAGAACTGTGATGAAATAGGTGGCTTATGTATATTAATGTTAATTCAAAAAGGAATTATTAGTTGATTAGTCATTGTTTCTGTATGTGATGTTTTATAGTGAATAAAGTTTTGAACACTCAAAACAAGTGTTCTTAAATCAAGGTTTGCTTGGCTATTTCTAGAAATATGAATTCTAAAAATTCATGTGCTTTTATTTCAGTAACTCATTCTCTCCCCCCCCCCCCTCTCTCTCACACACACTGATTTCCAAGTATCTATTTAAAGGAGCTCTGTCAAAAAGTATAAGGAAAATCCTCTGTCAAGATAATCCTAGAGAACTGTTTCTAGCTGACACAGATCTTGCCAGGCTGTAGAAACCAATAGGACCTGGGAACAAATAAGTTTATATGTTAAAGTTGCCCCAGAGAAAAATACTGGGATAGTATATGCCAAGATATATTACTTCAGTTATAAAACACAGAGCTAAGATTTCTGTGATTTATACCTGCTTTTGCTCACCACCACCAATAACAACAATATTCATTAATTTTGCTATAAGCAGTTTTGTTTTTAAACCATATAAGCATTACAGAAATAAAATGTAATCAACTGGTGCTGTTTTCATGATAAACTTGTTACTTGGAAATAAGGATCATATTGTAGAAAAGGAAAAAAATTTTTTTAAAAAATAAATAAGACTAATGAAATACAGTCTATATGGGATAGACAGCATCACCCCGAGATGGATTCTTAAATGGCTGACTAACTGCACTCAACTTGTACCCCTGGTGGAACTACCTCTACGCAGAGGGAAGACAGCAGTGAAGTACCTTAAGGTTCTCTCTGCTGTCCTCAAAATCTTCATAAATGATTTAGACATTAAATTCATTAAATTTGCAGATGACACCAAGCTGGGGGGAATAACCAACACTTTAGGAGATAAGCTCAAAATCAAAAAGGGTCTTGATAGACTTGAATACTGATGAAATGCAATTCTGTGGTGAGAAAATGAAGGCCTTATATTTAGGCATCCCCGCCACTACTGCTGCTCCACCGCTTATATTTAGGCATCCCCGCCACTACTGCTGCTCCACCGCTGCTGGCACTGTTGCCAGTCCATGGAGCCAGAAAGGTTGGGGACCACTATCCATTTAAATATGAATCAGCAGTGTGTTGCAACTACCAAAAAAATCAATGCATCTTAGGTTGCATCAACAGAAGGATAACATCAAGATCACGTTAAGTGTTCATACTGCTTTATACTACACTGGCAAGACCATACTTGGAATACTGCATCCAGTTTTGATCACCATGATACAAAAAAGATGTTGAGGTGTTTTGCTGTTCTGAAATTGTTTATTTTATAGATTAAGGCCACTCTGAGTCTGAAGTTGTTCAGTAAATCATTATACAAGTGAGCATTTCATCATACTGTTATGTATTTATGCCAAAATACTCAAATGGCTACCATATAACATCTTTCCCCCACCCTCTACCAGTTGTTAGATATATATAGAGAGAGAGAGAGGAAAGAGAGGGAAGGAGGGAGAGAGAGAGAGAGAGAGAGAGAGGGAGGGAGAGGGGGGAGGGAGGGAGAGACCATCGCTTCCTCACCCCACCCCTTTCCTGAGCTGGATTCATTCCTTTTCCTTGGTCTTAATGTTTAAGATCGGAGCACATTTTTGCAGTTTTTCTCTGTGGCATATTTTAATTCTTGCTAATACATAAGTTAGTTGAGCAGTGCAGATGTTAACACTGCCTTAGGGCTGTCTGTCCCGGGTCTGGTTTTGCATAGGGAGAGAGGCAGTGTCTGCTTCCAACAGCTTGACGTTCCCTGCTCTTCCCTCTGCCCCGATTGCCCATTTGGAGCTTTCTCTTGGATTTCACAACCAAGTTGACTGAGTGAATAAAAAAATTGCCAAGTTGAGGCACCCTGGGCCTTGTAAAGCTGCAGGGCTGTGAACGGCACTCTGTTGCTGGCAGGCAGGGTGACCTGAGATGGCCGTCCCCGGGTTACAGAGGTTCTGGTAATTCTGAATGGGTGGGGAACTGGAAAGGAGAAGTTAGTCTTACTGAAGCAAAGCCCCCGGGAGCAGGGCTTGCTCCTGAATCTCATTTTTCACATGTCTCCTGCACTCTCACTACTAGCCCCGTAAGAGGAAAGGAGGTGCTTCCTGTTATTCTGATTCAAATCTCAAGCTGGTGACAGGACAGAAGCAGACTGCCTATGCCTCAGAGTGGCAGGCTGTACAAGATGGATGGCCATGCTCTGCTCTTGAGACTACTTCTGCTGATTTCCACAGGTAAGTGGTTCTCCAGGTTCGGTAAGATATGGCGCAGGATGCTTGGGTCAGTGAGGTACTGGAGAGCTCATAGTAGCTTTAGTCTCTGGACTGGCAAGAAAAATGAGGGTCCTCACCCAGGCAGTTCATCTCAGACAGATTGGAAGGACATTTTAGGGAATACTGAGGGGATGATTCGACTTTGGAATCCAAGGCTCAGATCTTTCTGTGATCCTGCTTCTTACGTGAAAGAGGTCCGTAACATAGGCCTTGCCTTGCCTTCTGCTCTCTGCATGTGCCCCACCCAACTTATTTAATTATTTCTCCATTGTTTTCCCTGATTCCACATCATCAGTATTTTTTTTCCTGCCTCAAAGAACCAATGAGGTTATTTTACAGATATAAAATCCTAAGGTTTGAGATGCGCTCTTGCCCCTCCCTTCAGGTTTGCTTATACTCCTCCATTCCTCCACAGGAAGAATGCCAGCCTTTGATAGGCCAAACTTCTCTGTATCCAAATTGTATGAAGCCTTTGGCAGAATTTGTGATGCCACTTGCATTCTGACCCTGGCTGAAGTGGGAATGAACCAGAGTGTCTCGTGAAATACTTGTGGCTCTTTCTTCTTCTTCTTCCTTTCTTTTTGTTTGCAATTATTTCAGAGAAGAAATGAAAGAAATAGTTAGTTTGTTTTAGTGTAGCATGGAGACATACATGGAAGGCTACATTGGTTTCCTGTTAAAAATGATTTTGACATTGTGCAGGAGAGATACACTTTCCTACATACGGGTGTGAAGGGATAAAGGACCTCTGTTGTTGGCCAGATCCATTTACTGATTCTCCTAATTCTTCTTAGAGATCAACCTATGGGATCCAAACTACAGTTTGTCAAAAGTAGAGACCAGATGTATTTTGCTTATAGATCTGATATATTCAGAATGGCACAAAGAAGTAATCCAAATGATATGCTTCATGGTTTCAAATCTGACAACTGCTACATGTTACTGTGGGGAGAATGTAAAAAACAGCAAATAAATACCTTTTAGAGAGTTGTGCAGAACCTCAACACAAGATCTTGCTTTTCATTATAGCAATTCCTCGAACACAGAGAAGTTGTATATGTCTCACTGGGGCAAAAATCAGTGGGTTAGGTAATATGGAACAAAGCAAACTATTTTGTCCCACTGACAAAGTTTCCAAACCCAGAGTCAGGTATGTCTTTATTAGGACAAATATGTCAAAAATCATAGCAAATAAGTTCAATGTTTTAAAATGTATGTTAAGGACAATATGGTCAGAGGCTTAAAAAGATTGGAGAAGTGCATACAACATATAGAATGCTAGTTACACCTTATTTTTTGGGAGGTGGGGGAACCCCTTAATTTTTGAAAACCTACTTTATTCGATTCTGCATCTCCTCCTCTACTTTACTATATGATCCAACAATGCATGCTTCAAAGAATCAATATTAAATGTGCTTTTTGTCCCATTTTCCTTTCCCCACTTTTTGTAGCCTTATTTTAATTAGTTAAGTCTTGGAAAACTGGACATATTTATGTCTATGTTGGGCTATTTGTAATGAAGATATTGACTGAGGATTTGAAGTTAAAATCATACAATGACATCCAACAGCACAAAGCAAATTAAGGTAAAGGCTATCTCAGGTAGAGAAGAGAGGATGGTTATAGTTAATGTTTTCTCTGGGGTGGGATTCTGCTCCCCATTATTATTTAATTTTATGAAACTTCTCCTTTGGTAACACTGATTTGCAAACTAGGGCATTCAAAACCTTTGCTAGACCAATACTTGAATTCAGCTCTGCTGTCTGAAATCCGCACTGTATAACAGCCATAAATGCAATTGAGCGAGTCCAGAAGTATTTTACCAGAAGAGTACTACATTCCTCTGTTTGCAACAAAATACCCTACAGCACCAGACTTGAGATTCTAGGCTTAGACAATTTTGAACTACGCCGACTAAGATTGGATTTAAGCATAGTACATAAAATCATATGTTACAATATCTTACCAATTAATGAATATTTCAGATTTAACCACAACAACACAAGAGCACACAACAGATATAAACTAAATGTAAACCACTCCAAACTCAGTTGTAGGAAGTATGATTTCAGCAACAGAGTGGTCAATGTCTGGAACTCACTATCTGATTCTGTTGTCACCTACTCAAACCCCCTCAAACTAACCTCTATTGACCTCACCCCATTCCTAAGAGGTCTGTAAGGGGTGTGCAGAAGCGCACAATCATGCCTACCGTCCCTGTCCTATTGTCCCCAATTATTAGTTCCTATTTCTTGTATTTAAACTTATGTTTATTCTTGTTTCTGCTGTACTGTAAGCTTTTAACAAATAAAAATAAATAAATACAATTATTACCCCAACTGAAAATTCCAAACTTGTTTCTGATTTTGCCCTTAACTTGTCTTAACTTTTTAATAAAATTTTCTGCTTCCCATCCCCAGTGGTTTCAGTAAGTCTGGACTTCTCCTTAATTCTAAATTTCTCATAGTTAGAATTTTTCCTGAGGTTATTTTTACATCGTCTCCATTTTCTCTCAATTGTAGTGGCTATTACAATTCATGGTTATTCTGGGACAACAGTACCTCCCCAAAATGGTACCTTCTCTTTCAAAAGTCTAAATCTTACACTTCAGGAAATTAAAGGTAAGCTACAAATGAAATGGGATGAATTGATGCTAAAAAATTGGTTTAAAGGTTTTCTTATAGTGCTAGAATCCAGGTTTATCCCATGACATAGAATGGAGGAAGAAATGAATCTTATTTGGATAGCTTTGCTTATTTTAGATAGCAGAGGGCTGAACTAAGAAATCTGCACCTATAAAATGTGGCAATGGGCACTGATCTGAAAAACTTTTGGAAAGATTAAGAAGGATGAAACTTTAAATAGCTATTAATCATGACACGTTATTTATCCTGGCAAGTTTCTTTTTTCCCCTCCAAGATCAGAAGCAACATGCCAATGATTGGGGGGGCTGGGGGGGGGGGGGCTGTCAGATTCTATATGGGGTTTTTTTTGTCTTAGAAAAACAGGATGCTGGGCTAGATAGGCCTTTAATTTAATGGACCCTTCTGATAAATTGCCAATTTTGATGGGAAATCTGCTAATATCTTAGTATCTTAATGTTAAAACAAAAAAAAATTTTTTCAGAGAAACCATGGGTTTACCCATGTAGTTAATTTGTGTTGATTTGCTTCTTCCTTCTTTCATGTCCAGAAACTGATAATACTGAATTTTATTTCAGTGCTTAGGAATATATTCTATTCTACCTGGAGAAAAGCACATCCATTTAGAAAGCATATGGCAGTGAATAGCTTGTGCAGTTCTAGACCCTAAAAAAAGAATGAGTAGGGTTGTTCAAGAGAAATGAACTGATCCTGCCAGAGTAGTTTTTAACATCTGCCACCTGTAATAGTCCTCACATTGTACCTAATGAGGGGGAAGTATTTACACAATACACTGGGAACTTGAAAATTTGCAAATGTCTTCACATATCATTATTTCTTTTTATAAAGTACTTTTAATTAATTGAGACAATTTGCCCCCCAACAATGGGCGTGTTAATTTCTTTCTTAGAACCTACAGGAATTTAAAGCTGATAGAGCCTCTCTAAGATGCAAACAAAGTGTCTTTGAATTTTGAGATTATACTTTTATTCTTGAAATATTTGTTGCTATGAAATACTCTTAAAATGAAGGAATGAGAAAATATTGATGCCCACCCTCCGAGGCCTCTGCAAAAGGCAATTGATAAAAGCAGAACTATACTGAGGCAATGCTAGTTCTACCCCTTGTACACCCCTTGTCAAGGACACATATATAAAAGAGACAGTTTGTGTCACAATAGTACAATGATGAGGTTGGCAGTGCTGTTCTCAAAAAAGATTACTTGGAAACTGGCAACCAAATAAAGGGGAAAATCTGATGCTAGATTTCTCCCAATGTCAGAGTTTTTCCTCAAAATATTGTTCCTATGATCCCTTGAATCCCAAACCAGAGAGTTATTTCCTCAAGAATTCTTTACAACAAGGGATTCCATCATCATTCTTTTCCTTCTTTACCATAATTGTTACAATCATCCAAACTTTTTCCGTCTGGAATAATTGTCTTTGGTAGAGTCCAGTTGCAGCTCCATTCCTCTCCTTTCTGGTAATCTTGGGGAAATCTGAAACTTTTACAAATGTATTGCCTAAGGTCATTTTGAAAGCTTAAATTAAAATTGAAAAGATATATTGAAAAAAGATATGCACAATTAGTTTGCTTCCAACTGCTTTGTAGAAATGTGCTGTCTGATGAAATAAAGTAATAAATAGCCTTCAATGTTTGTAAAGAGAGGTCTGTAATTCTTCTTGCCTGAGTCAAATCAGAAGGGGAACTTGGTGATTGTTTGTTAGTTTTGATTGGGAATAGATCAGAATTTCTACTAAACACCTTTCTCAGTTCCTCAGAGGCTTCTAGCAGTAGATGATCCAGGTAGATTTCTTTCTATCTCACACCTCAGAGTAATTTCTTATATTTTATTTCTTTTCCATTCTAGATTTGATATACCAATACCGTACCAGTCAGTGTTGGGATTTGTTTACTGAGCAGATGGCCAATATCAGCAAAACATATTGGTGTGATTGGAAGACTATTCGCAGGTATTGCAGAGTTTCACCTTTTACTGACCATGGGAAAGGGTAGGCTTACGATCTAAATGAGGAAGAAGGTTGCATGATTTTACCATAATAAACTTTCATATTATTTGTATCAGAAGAACATGAAGATACTTTCTTAAATTATATTGTAGAGATAATCCTCATTTAACAACAGCCTTGATTAGCAGCCATTCCCATTTGTTAGAGTGATGATAATGTAACTTTATGACCATTTGTCACATTTATGACCTTCACAGGTCAAGGAAAGTTTTAAAAAGTTGAAGTGAGATCATAAGCACAGTCATAGTTTCACTTGGCAACCATTTCACTTAATGGCCAAATTTCCAATCCCAGTTATAATCATGAAACATGCACTACCTTCTATGTATTATATTTTCTAATTTCAGATATTTATATGCTATTTTTTTGTAAGCAAGTCAGTCATTTCAGAATTAATTTGTGGCATTCAGACTGAATTAATCATAATTAGGTTTAACTGAAATTAGTGAGATTAGGTAGCATGCAATAATGAAATGTGAGAATGACCTTGGAAAACGAGGGAAAGAAGTGCTGCTTAGGGAACCATCAGATAAAAGGGAGAGGAGTCCACAGCTGAGCAACAGACAGCGAAGGAATCATATAAAAGATCTATCCTACCTAATCCAGCAGTAAAAAAAAAAAGACAGTGGGAAATATGTACTTTCAGACTTGGACGATTATGTTAATATAGTATCGCAATAAAGAATTCATCTGTTCATATTTCCTGTCTGGTCTACATGGGAAGCTGACACCTGTCTTGTCCATTTTTTGTCCTGGTCTCACAGGTATTTTTGGCCATCTCTGTTCTATTCAAAATGAGTGGTAAAAAGGATTTTTTTCTAAGAATAAGCCAAACCTATCCAGGTCTGTCTCCTTTTTGGTAAAAGATTAGTTTGTACCAAACTAATCTAACTGAATACATTCAGACTTAGAAAGATTCTGTTATAATGCTTGTTAGAATAAAAATAGTGGGGATTAAAAATTGGAATTTTAATAGGTTGTGTTCTGTTTGTATCTTTTCATCTTTTGCTGAAGAAAAGATGAAATGTTGGATTCTAAAATAATTTTAATGGCAGTTGAAGTACCTACTATAGAGTAGCTTACTATCTGACTCATGAGGCTGAAGTTTACTGCAGTATTTTACTGCTTACTTTTAATAGTTTACTGTATTTTTTCCTTGGGATGCTCCCCCTTTCTTGGGTTGATTCCTCAAGACCAAAAGAACTAACCATGTTTTCATTATTTTGAAAACTATAATCCTAAAATGTAACAGGGGCTTACAATATAGAGCAAGTATAACTGTAGGTCCTGTGACATTGGGTAAAACAAAATAATAACCACATTTTCTGGCCAGTAAGTATGTGGAGACAAAAAAAAGAAATTGCAAGCTGAAGTTCTGAATTTTGATATTGAAATCTGAATATTTTAGAAATATTTCTTTAAAACTCACAAAAAAGCTGCCCTGATTCATATTAAAAACATAAGCAATATCATTTCTATTAAATATTGTCATCTTGTTGGACCTGGGATCATGCATTCTCTATGACAGCAGCTGCCCTATGGAACAGCACCACTCTGGAGATTTGAATGGCGCTAACCTTGTTAGTTTTTTTTAAGGATTGAAGACCTGGCTGCTCTCCCAGGCGTTTGGGCTGGATGCTTAAGTTAGCATTGCTGGCTAATGCTAGTTGATGTACAGAGCAGAGGGCTTTGAAGGCAAGAGGAAGACCTGCTACCAAGCCAATACTCAGATAAAAGGCGCTGAGTTTGGGCCAAGAAAATAACTTGAGAAATTGTTCCTCCCTAGTTCATGTACAGATAAAGGGAGGGAGAGACAAGTACATTCAGACTTAGAAAGATCCTTTTATTATACTTGCTAGAATAAAAATAGTACCAATGTTGGGATTTTGAATGGGTTGTGCTGTATTTGTAACTTTTAACATATTTTTGTTAACAGTATGTTTCCCAAAATAACTTTTGTGAGATGGGAGGCTACATAAATTGTTTAAATAAATAAATATATATTTAAAACATTCCCAAAAACCTGTACACCGTGGATGCATACATTTTTGATCATAAGATATTTGATCACATTAGATGGGAAAAATATGAAAACAAAAGATGTATTATTATTGAAAGTCCCAATGCCTTTTGAAGAAATATGAAGAAATACACAGATCATTCCTCCCTCATTTCCCATACTTGATTGGTATGTTTTCTTGTTTTTTACATTCGATAAGAGAACATGTATAGGCACGGGGTCTACACGCCTGTATATGTTCACTCATGTGCATGCAATTATTTCTCATTCTCTAATTTTGGAGAGTAGGTCTAAATCAGTGGTTCCCAAAGTGGACGGTACCGCCCTCTGGGAGGCAATGGGATGCCTTGGGGGGGGGGGGGGGAAAGCAGGGGGGCGCGAGGAGGCGGCAGGGGGGCGCTGGAGGTGAGCGGCAGGGCATAATTCAGGGGTGAAAAAAAAATCCCACCGCCGCTGCGCTTGAAGCAAGGCCCTGCAGGATCATCCCATTGACTTGCACGCTCTGGTACAAGGAGCTCCGCCCCGAACGCAGCATTGAGAAAGAAGAGCAAAGCCAGAGTAGCTTTGCTCTTCTTTTTCAAATATCCCACTGCCGCCGTATTTGGGGTGGTGGGGCGTCGCCCCGAACGCAGCGTTGGGAACAGGAGAGCAAAGCCAGAGTGGTTTTGCTCTCCTTTTCAAACATCCTGCCATCGCCGCGTTCCACCCCATTGAGCCCCTTGCACTGGAGGTACCTGCCCCGAGCAAGTCTGAACGGAGCTGTGCACGAAGTCAATGGGGTGAGCCTGAGAGAGGGAAAGAGAGAAGAGAGAGAGAGAGAGAGAGAAAGAGAGAAGGAAGAAGAGGAAGAGAAAAGGGAAAGAAAGAAAAAGGGACAAAGAAAGAGGGGGGATGAAAGGAAGGGACAGAAAGAAAAAGAAATAAAGAAGGAGGGAGGGAGGGAGAAGAAAGATAATGAGATATCTCTTCTAGTCCAATCACCTGCTCCAGCAGGATTAGAAGGGAGTGTGTGTGTGTGTGTTCTCGTAATTTACCAATACATTTTGGTTTTGCCTTCTTCAGAATTGGCACTGTAATACATTGGGGAAAAGTAAAATTTTAGGGTGGAGATCTTGTCCAATGGATCCTGTTTAAAGCCTCAACAAAATGTGAGAGCTTCCTGATAGTCTTGGCCTTGTTTCGTCCACAAAACCTTTAATTAATAGAAGCCAAAGATGTTTCAATGTGCTGGCGAAGATGCTGGCAAAGATGTCTCAGTGTGGAAAAGGGCCTCTAAACTAGGCCTCCTTTCAGTCTGATGCATCAGGTCTCTCTCTCCACCCCCAATCCCCTCCTCCCCCCTCCATCCCTCCATGCCACCCCCTTTCTTTGTCCCTTTTTCTTTCTTTCCCTTTTTCTTTTCTTCCTTCTCTCTTTCTCTCTTTTCTCTCTCTCTCTTTCCCTCTCCCAGGCTCACCCCATTGATTTGGTGCACTGCTCTGCTTGGACTTGCTTGGGCAGGTCCCTTCAGTGCAGTGGGCGCAGTGGGGTGGACCTGCGGGGCCGGTACCTAGAATGCGGCAGTGCCGGCATGTTTGAAAAGTAGAGCAAAGCCAGAGGTCGGTAATTTTTGCTGCAAAGAATCACAAAAGCTGGGTTGTGCACAAGAAGGGACACACATGTCAATGCAATTCAGCAACATAAAATAAAGAAATACAAATAAAATAAATCAATAAGAATTGGCAAAGCATCTCTGATTACATTTTATTCATTACTAGAATCTAATCAGAGATGCTTTGCCGGTTCTAGTCCAATGACCTGCTCCAGCAGGGTTGGAAGGGAGTATGTGTATATGTGTGTGCATGGCTGTCAAAACTCCAAAAACAGGTCAAGTAGTTCTGGGGAGGCCAGTCATAAATTAGAACAGTTGCTAAGCAACCGGCCATTAAGTAAGGACCATTTGTATTTGGTTTGCCAGTCACCCAACCACACTCACCCAGTCATGTGACTAGCAAGCCACACCACCAGTCACATGACCAGCAAGCCACACCCATCCAGTCATGTGACCAGCAAGCTATGCCCACCCAAACACGTTACCAGCAAACCACACCCTCAAATTAGGCCACGCCCATAGAAATTTGAATCCCGCCCCTGGTTGGGGGTCATAGAGGATGAGTTTGTAGCACCAAGTGGGAGGTGGACTGAAAAAGTTTGGGAACCACTGGTCTAAATGGACCAACTTTTTTTCTGAGTATCTTGCTTATGCTACTAATTGTTTTGTTTCCTTGATTCTTGATTATCTTTATAGGCCATATAGTCACCTGAGAAAATGCCTCGAAAATGAAGCTGATAAACTGGACCTTAACTACCCCAATTCCATGGCTGAGGAATACATCATCATCAGCCACCATAACTACTTCTTCAATTGTACCTTGCAGAGTCAACCTCTCCAGGACCCTCCTGAAAATATTTTGCTGGCTCTCATCATGACCCCCATCTGCATTATTCCTTTCTTGGTTGCTCTTGTTGTGTTGAAGAGCAAAGATGGTGAGATGCAATTGTGAGTCCCAATCTTTATGAGGTGATGTCCCAATCTTTATGAGGTGATGGTCAAAGCAGTGTATTTACAACATTCAATTATGAAATTCACCCTAAACCAGTCTAAGAACATTATCTAGCATGAGCCATTGCCCTGGAGACTATTGATTGAAGTGCTGTATGAGGGCACTTTGTACTAAAAGAAAGGTCATAGAAAGAACAAAACCAAACTCCATCACCAAAGCAAATGCTGATGTACGTATGCCTCAGTTATAATCTGATTTAACATTACTGCCTATTTTATTCCAAACAGATTATGGGAACTATAGATAAATTGGGTTATTGAAAATTCTTAGTGAGAACTCCCTAGACTCTTTACAGAATCATTTATTGTGAGACACTACGGCAGTGAAAAATTTTAGGTTGATAGAGATAGGTCAAATATACTGTATATGAATGTTTTTTCCGTTAGAAAGAAAATGGTAAGTGCCCATGTGCCCTTTTTTTTACAAACTGATATATTTGTCTTTCCACCCAAACTCTCATCCAACACTTACAAATGACAGATGGTAATGCCCTATAAAATAGGGTGTTTTCACATAGGCAAAGTGTTAGGATATGTCCCTTGTCTTTCTCCCTCTATGGGCAAGCTCTGGCTATCCCAAATGTGGACTTCTTTTTGTAAGTAATCTAGGCTAACTGGAGATGAAATGGCATCTTCCCTCACTGTCCTCTTTTCAGTTACAAGTTTCACTTACTCTACTTACTTTGACCCAAACATTTGCTCAATGTGCAGATGCAGATGTCCAAGATAACACCATGGGATTACATAAAGCTGCATTTCTCTCCTTCAGTAAGATGGAATCGAAAGAAAATAGCAAAAATATATGCTAAATGGATCAAGAAAACAAACCGAAAGTTTAGGGACATTCATAACAAAAGTTAATTAAATAGTGAACAAATAGTAGAAATGACAGCCTAGAAGAGTTCAACATGGTCACATTTTGGCCTATTGTGTGATACTCTTGTAACTATTTTAAAAATACAATGCAATTACCTTTTTCTAGTAGCATAGTGCTATTGAGACGAAATAGAGGTATTGGCTCTTTCACTATTAACTTCTTCCTCCTTGCATCCTCTTACTTTTTTCTCTCCAACATTTTACTGGCAACATTGGTTTTAACAAACCCCAACAGCATAATACTAGTGCCTGACCATGGCACTCTAACATAAACTCTAAAAAAGGAATCTGCAACCTTAAACACTTGAAGAGCCATTTGGATCCATTTCCCACAGAAAAGAAAGCACTGGGAGCCAATAATTTAAGAACTGGTGTGACTGGATGGGTGTGGCCAACTCAACATCACTCACTCCCACCCAATCACCTCCTGCTCTGGAATATGGAGTGAGTCTCCATCCCCCGCCATCACTCTTGCCTTCTCAGGCCAGGCGAGGAGTGATGGGGAGGGGAGGGGCCAGCCAGTGGTGGGATCAGCTGACAGGGAGCCACATGTGGCTCCAGAGCAGCAAGTTGCCAATCCCGGCTCTAGAAGCTATACACTTTTTCATAAAAGCAACTTCCTTTCCATTATGTGTACTGCAAAGGAACATGTTTAGATCAGCTAAAAAGATATGTTCAATATTTTTGGGGGATTGAAGATGTAAGAAATAACTTCTACGGTTCTTCAATGCCTTATTTTTCACCTTGATAACCTCTGTAGTGATTCCTTTTTTGAAGAGTTCTCAAGTTGAAATATCCTGGTCCCCAAATGAGTGACATGCAGAAATTACTGAAGTAGAACAACAGATACAACAGATCAGCAGATGGATAAACTGGGCAGTTTTACTAGACATTCATTCATTTATCATGATTGTTTTCCTGGGACACATATAGTTGTCTTCATTCATGTTTTCTTAGAAGTAAACATTTGATTATTCTTTTTGTGTAGCTTTTTTCTTTCGGTGTTCATAATACTATGTATGATAAAGAAATGAAAACTGAAAGGAAATAACTAATTAAAATTGATCTCAATGTCAGAAAATGTTTCCATGTCATGTTACAGATACCCTATAATTGAAACTGCAGAAAAACCACTGATTTTAAGTAGTTTTATTTTGCATTTAGTCAGGAGTTGCTAATAAGTTTTCTTTCTGTATAATCCTTTCATTGGGAATAATTTCTCTTTTTGTGCTTCAAATGGTAATAAAAATTATGGTATTCTGTTAAAGTCTCTTTGTCTTAAAAAGTGCTTTCTTATTACGGCAATGTATTCACTTTAGTCTAGTTTTGTTCTTTTTCATTTTGTATACCATCTCAAGCATCTGAGGGACGGTGCAGTGATTTATTAATATTTCAGATAAAATAAACATAGAATATATTAGAGTACTGCTTGATTTTCATTGCGACTAATGTTTTAATTAAATAGAAAAGTAACATTTTCAGGCCACCCATCCCACAACAATGATTCTGAGCTGTGTACAATGTTTAAAATCCAACAATTAAACCAATAATCCGCGTATGACATAAATGACATTTTCTAATCATATCAATAAAGGGGCTTGTCCTATCTCCTGTTCCAATGCCCTGGAGAAAGGCCAATTTTGTTAGGAATATCTATATTTCGGGGGGGAAGCTTTTGCACAAGACATTGTTTAACAGAAGGGACACAAATCACGCCCTCTCCCTTAGGAGCATGCCCTCTTTGGGGTTGAGCAGAAACAACGAAAGAAAGGCAATCTTGTAAATGTGCAGTTCACAGAGTAGCAATGTTGCATGGTTTAGCATGAGATGCCAAAAGCTGCCTGTGTAGAAATTAACATGTGCATGAAATTATGATTGCAAGCAACTAGTAACTACTACACATATTTCAGTATATGTATCACATAATTTCTATATCTTGTACCAATCTAGAGGCTAAATGCCAAATTTTGTATCACTTGCGACTGTTAAATGCTTTTCAGGGAGGTTCCACATAAAGCACATTGCACTTAATTCAGGGCATAACTGAGATATTAATAATGTTTGACTAAATCAAGGGTATAGCTACCAAGATAGATTCAAATGTCATTTTTTGTATAGTTGTGCTATGTAGCCAATGACTGCTGAGGTCAAGAGATAGTGAGAAAGTGAACCTATTTTTCCAGGGAAAGTGGAACCTCATCCAGAATAGGTTAAATCCCAGTTACCAATTCTATTTTCTATAAAAGCTGTTCTATTTTCATTGGATCTAATTTCAGCTTGGTCTCTTTCATCCAGTCCATTATCAAACTTAGGTACATTAAACTCAGGAACATTAAAGTTAGATAGCAAAAAGCAGGAGAGTTTAGTAACCCAGGCCAAAGCTGTAAATAGTCTACATGGTTTAATATAGATGCGGAACAGTATAGGGCATATAAGGTATACATAGATATTATAAATTAAATAGTCCCCCAGCACTAACGTACGAACATACTGCAATAGGAACCATTGCAAAACAATCTCATGATGCCCAGCCCTAGCAGATAAACAAAAACAGTTCCATAATCAATGGGACGGAGCATTTCCCCCAGGCTAAACCTTGTTTATGTACCATTCATATCTGTTTCAGACAGCTCAGTTATGCTTAGTCCTCAAATGCAACTGCTGTCTCACTCACCTTGATACATAATCTTTATTTAGGAATTAATTTACTTAGCAGAAGGTTCCTAGACATAGCTCGGCAAGATTATTTTTTATTATTATTTCAGAGAAGAAATCATATACACGCCAGAGTTTTGTCTACTGAAGTATACAGAATCAAGGCCTTCTAGAGGTTTGTGTGTTCTAATCTTCACCCACCTGTCTTTTTAAGTCAGCAGTTATTTGGCCATTATCGTGATGACCTTGGAAGGTACCTGATCTGTGTAGGCATAATGTGTCCTCACCTGACAACAACAGGTTCCTACTTGACCAGCTTCAATCCTTTTTATTATTCGCTATTGTTAAAGAAAATGTACCATAATTACTAAAATGTTGTCACCCAATCCCAATATCAATGAAGTCATTAGTTTAATTGGTAGAGAGATTACAAAATTTATTTTTCATTGGAGGAGGTTCTAGTACCATAGATTTTTGCTATTCAGAGGATTCACTGAATATAATTTTGAACAAAATAAAAAGTTAATTTTATGCATGGGTTCCTAGGCACTTATGATATAATTACATGAAAATCCCCTAACATAGCAAATAAAACTTTTTTTTTTTGCTTTTGACTATGTACTTTGTATAAGCCCTGCACTAGTCAAATGAATATAATATGTAGTATAAATTACCTTAATAATTCCCTACTTCAGGGATAGCCATCTATGGCATAGGCTGTAAAGGGCCTCTCATTAACTATCTTGAAAACTTACAATACTCCTAATGGAACAGAGGATGAAGGTATTGTTTAAAGATCAAATGATTTCCCCTGTGCATGTAATGAGGAGCATATGCTTCCTTGAGGAACATATGCTTCCTTGAAAACTAAAGAAAAAGGAGTCTAAAACTTGACCTGAGCAGTTGGATGTTCAGCTGAGCACTTTTGAAAAGTTTGACTAGAAATGTTTCCCTTAGGGCGATATATGAAACTTACAAAAGTTCATTTAGTGACTGTTCAAAGTCACAATGGAACTGAAAAAGAAGAGTTATAATCGTTATTCACAGTTACAACTATTGTAACAACTCTGTTGTCATGTGATCAAAATTCAGATGCTTGGCAATTAAATCACCATCACCATCATTGTCATCATCACCATCATAGATGGGAGGGATCTTGGAAGTTTTCTAGTCCAATCCCCCTGTTCAAGCAAAAGACCCTATACCATTTCAGACAAATGGATCGTTCTTAAAAGTCTCTGGTGATGAAGCACACATAACTTCCGAAGGCGAGCTCTTCTATTGGTTGATTATTCTCACTGTCATGAAATTTCTTCCTATTTCTAGTTGCTTCTTTCCTTGTTTCTTCTCTTGCCTTTGAAAAATAAGTTGACCCCCTCTTCTTGTGGCAGGCCCTCAAATATTGAAACACTGCTATTATGTCACCCCCTAGTCCTTTTCACTAGATTAGACATACCCAATTCATATGTTTAAGCCTCTAGCCCCCTAATCATTTTAATTGTTCTTTTCTGGATTCTTCCTAGAGTTTCAACATCTTTTTGAGACTGTGCAACCATCATGTTTATGACAGTTGCAGTGTTCTGAGTTTAAGTGAATACCTTTTGAGACCTAGGCAAAATCAATGGGGAAGCCAGATTCACTTAACAACCATGTCAATAACTTGACAACTACAGTGATTCACTTAACAATTGGCAATAAAACATGGACCAAAATTCATTTAACATATGTCTTGCTTGGCAACAGCAATTTTGGGCTCAATTATGTTTGTACATTGAGGATTACCTGTACAACAGGCGAACACTTTATCCAAACAATCAATATAAAATTTATAACAATTAAAGAACAAACTTAGTTCCATTGTTTTCATTTCAAAATATAAACAATTCAGAAAAGAGGGCAGGACAATTATTTCAAATCTTTTACTGTAAATATTCTGTTCCTTCCCTTCTTTCTAAGCCATTTTGATGGGAGCAAGGAGAGAAGGCATTGATTCTGTCTTCTGGCCCCCTCTCTCCTGTCTTCCATTGTTTCTATTGTTTTCCATAGGAAGGGTGAGTCCATCCCTTTTACAGATTCTGGTTTGTCAGATCAGCATGGAAGCTGAGGGAAACCGTATTGTAATGATTAGGCTCTCCGTTATTATGGACTAACAGAGACATTGAGGGGACATGTGACATACTTACTGGGGAGGGGATGGGTAAGCTGTCGGGTGGCAGTTCAACATAAACACCTCTAATTTTACATGTTCAATCTAATACATGAACAAAACTGAGCTACACTTTAAAATCTAGCTTTCCGTATACTTTGCAATGGTGTTGCAATTAAAAATAAAGTATCCTAAGGAAAATTTTGGACCAAAATGTTTTTAGTCATCGTAATAAAATATGTAATACTGTGCAATAGGGAGACCAATTGCAAAAATGTACTCTTCGTCCCAAAACCTGGTTACTTAAAGCAGTCAAATCACTTTGATAAAATACTATATTATTTTATTTGCTTGCAATCAATAATACAGGAAAGTTATGAACATTTCCAGAGGGACCATGATCAAAAGCAGAACGGGTGCTCATATGCCGCTGGCTCCACAACTGCAAAGACAAAATAAAGAAACCACAGCCTGACATTGAAATGTTTTAGATAAATCCCTTTGTGCGACTTTATCATTATCTATCCCTTCTACTGGGTCAGCGTGCTTGCTAAACTATCTTTGAAATATGCTCAGTAAATAAAAACAATATGATTTACTCGTCTTTTCCTTATCATTACTCAGGGTCACTTTAGCGTGTTGTGAATTTTTTATTATGAGAAAACCATTTCATGTATATGGGAGGCATTTCAAAGGTCTAGTAGCGAATGCAGTTTACAGTATATCCAAACAGGGGAGGGAACCTTCTCTCACGCTTTTTCTTAACAGTGTTCTAAGCTGAAGAAGTCCCATGGTGCCATAGCAAGGGAGAACATACCTCTAATCCATATAATTGATCCTTGGATCATCTGATTGGGAAGAATGTCCTCGTGAGAAGAGCCAGGAATTCTGAGATCTTTAAGACAGGAAATTGTTATTGCTAGTTATCTAAGGGTTAAGTGGCTACCATTTTTAGAGAGCCAAAGAGTTGCTCACCTGGAGTGAAGCATGCAAGAGTGGAGAAAGTTACCTGTGTCATGGGAGGGCTGTTTCTATCTTAGGTTTTATTTACAATGATCTGTGTTGTTCTTGCACCCGGACTGATGTTGCTGATTGTGATAAAATGGGCCAAAGGAACCTCACATTTCCTGAATAGAGGCT